GCTATGTCTTGGGCTACTCAAATATTTTACGTTTTTGATACTAAATTAACTTCTGAAGTATAATTTTTTATTCTGACAGTTTTGTCTTCAATTTTATTTTATTATAATTTTTTATTATTTTTATATTTTTCAATATATTTATTTTGTTCGTACAAAATAAAAAAATAATTTTTAATGATACAATAGTCTTTGTTAGGCTTCACATCGACGAAAATTCAACGCAAAGCGACACGCAACGGAGAAAAATTTCAACACGGGATAAATTAATATATTTTTTTGTACATAATTGGTTATCCGAAACATCAATCTTCCGAACAACCCCAGTTCCCAATTGATTCGGATAATCGATGCTCTACTGTAAATAATTCCTTATTGTGAAATTTAAGTATAAAATTTGAATGTATTCTGGCCCCACAAAAGGTCACTCCAGCCCTGCTCTCAATAAGGGATTTGTACCACCCTTTAAATTGTTGGTCCTTTGTGAGATACTTGCCTCCAAAGATCAGTTTTTAATATGTATCAGTAAACTTCCTATTCTACGTGCTTTCAATGTAGTTGTGTGCTCACTATCGCTTGCACCTCAGTGCCCAGGTAAGGGCGAGCCCCTGCATCCCCTAAAACTATATAACATTTAATACTCCACAGTCAAGCGGGCTGCTTGAAGCCAGCACAGTTGTGTAGGCTAAATAGTTAAATGCGATAGTCTTAGCAGATGACAGTATTGCACATTGGATTAAAGTTACAACTGGCATCCTGTTAGCAGAAAAGAACTGTAATATTTGCTCAAAATGTTTTTTTAAAGTTACATTTGTTTTGGAAAAGAACAACTAATTATATTTTTAAGTATCTGTGTTTTTTTTCATTCTGTTTTGTGTTTGTTTTTTCCATGCTTCCCTTTTCTCTCCAACTAATATATTATTCAGCCAAATAGTTTAGTTTTGAGAAGTATTTGACCCAAATACTAAATACATATGTTTAATATTTAGCAAATACTGAACATTTTTACCAATATTAATTACATTGTAATCATTTTGAAGATATTTTCAAAAATTCCTTTTGCAAATAACTTGGAAATGGTTTAAGAANTCTTTTCCCGCAAGCTGAGTAACTCTCAGCGTCAGTATTCTGCATACGACCGATTACTTCTGGCAGTGTATTTGGCTGTGAAATATTTCCATTTTTTGCTGGAAGCACGACAGTTCACCATTTACACAGACCATAAACCATTAACGTTTGCCTTCCAGCAACGACACGATAAGTGTACACTCCGTCAGTTGAGACATCTCGACTTTATAGGACAATTCTCAACAGACATCAGAAACATAAAGGGGATCGATAACGTTCCAGCTGATGCTCTCTCCCGTATTGAATCAATTAGTAGTCCATCTATAGATTATAGCAAAATTGCAAAAGACCAACAGCAAGATCCTGAGCTCCAGTCTCTCCTGACTTCAAGTGACTCATCACTTGTACTTAAGAAGTTTAAACTTCCTGATAGTGATGTCGAAATTTACCGTGATGTATCGACAGGTCGCATTCGTTCAAACATTCCGCCTGGTTATCGTCGCATAGTGCTTTCAACACTGTCCATAACCTGTCCCATCCAGGTGTAAGGAGCTCAACCAGATTGGTAAAAGCAAAATTTGTTTGGTCATCCATCAGTAAAGACTGCCAGACATGGTCTCGCACCTGCATTTCTTGTCAGCGGTCGAAGATCCAGAGACATGTCGCTAGCCCTTTGGGAACCTTTCCTATTCCAGACACTAGATTTTTAAATATTCATATTGATATTATTGGTCCATTGCCACCTTCCATCGGCTCAACATATTGCCTCACAATTATCGATAGATTTTCTCGTTGGCCTGAAGCAATTCCGTTGCCAGATATAGCTGCTGAAACAGTGGCTTCAGCCCTATATTCAGGTTGGATATCTCGCTTTGGAGGCCCTGCCCAAATAACATCTGACCAAGGACGGCAATTTGAATCTAGCCTATTCAAATCCCTCAATCAACTTATTGGTGCCAAAAGAGTTAGAACAACAGCATACCACCCAATTGCGAATGGCATTGTTGAACGCTTTCATCGCTCACTTAAAACTGCCATCAAGTGTCTACTCTACTGAAGTGTACTCTACTGAAAGGTGGACGGAAGTACTACCTACAGTCTTGTTAGGATTGAGAACTGCGCTTCGTGAAGACACCAACACTACTGCAGCTGAGATGCTCTATGGCACCAGCCTGGAGAATTTTTCGTCCCAGGTTCCCAGGACATCAGTCCATGTTCTTTCGTCGAAAAACTCAGGACGATGATGGCAAACTTAAAATCAGTGCCTGTGGTGTACCACTCCTATCGCAACTCATTTATCTACAAAGAACTGCAGTCATGTTCCCACGTATTTCTCCGCAATGATGCTGTACGGAAGCCCTTGCAGCCTCCATACGATGGACTCTACGAAGTCGTGTCACGTGGTAGCAAGACATTCACTCTATGCATAAAGGGAAAAGAAACTGTAGTTTCTATTGATCGACTGAAACCGGCTTTTATTCTCGCAGCGAGCGAGTCGGACCAGTTACCCCCAACGTCTCCAACTCCAAGACCAGCGACGACTAAACATACCACAGACAATCCACCCCCAACGCGACAAACTGCCACACGCTTTGGCCAACATGTATCCTTTCCCGCTCGTTTCGTGTCGCAGACACTGGTGGGGGAGTAGCTGTGGCAGCCAGCGCCAGAGATTTCGAACACTATCTGGCAATACTTGCCAACGAGAGTTGACTGGTAACGTCGAAAAGAAAGAGGCGCGAAAGTTCGTCGGATTTGCCCGGGCGTTGCCCGAGGGTGTCGGTGGCAGTTCTGACCTTTTTAATAAAGTTCTTTTTGTTACTGTTCGTGTTTGACTGCTTAGTGTTAGTTGTAAAGATCAGTAGGATCGAATGACAAAACGTAATTCCCTAACCTTCGACACTCGGCGCTTAAATTGTGGATCTGACTGAACCCATAATGCTGCATAAATGATCCTCTTATTGACAACAGGATGACCGCGGTGATAAAAACATTAGCTTACAGCTTCGGGAACCGGGTTCGAGTCTGAGTCCCCAGGAATTTTAATAAATGGATTGAGCCAAATATTTCGGGCTCTGTCTTTAACAATGTAGCCGCTTCGTTATAGGTCTACCCAAATTCAAAACGGGCTACTTTAGTGCCTTCAGGGCAGAGAGAATCAAAGGCGAGAAGGGTTTTTCTTTTCTATAATCCCTCCGCCATCGGCCGTCGGGCGATTAGAGTGAAAAGCTTAAAAAAATTCTTAACATTTTTTAATTGGTAATAATTTTCATAAAATTATAAATTTATAACAGAAGAATTATACAATAAAAGTAAATTATATGATTAAAGATATAATATTTATAATTTAATTACTGTATTTATAATACAATTTCTAGAACAACGCCCGTCCTCTGGTGGCCGTATATAGAAGTTATAAGCACGGCGTTCTTTCATGCGAAGTTTGAAAGTGTATTTTGGATAAGTGCTAAGAAATAATGTAAGTGCGTTGATATTCTTAACCATTCGTTTGACATTAATTAATTTATCAAATTGTTGATCGTTCGTTTATGTTATTTCTAGTAATAAGAGAGATTTCATTGAAAATCTCTAACGTAGTTGGTAGATTTTGGTGGTTTTGAATTCGGATTTAAAAGCTAATTAATCGCATCATTCGAACTCGTATTATCGTACATATTTCGAATTTATTCATTAGCATTATCATTTTTCAGTAAAATATCGGAGAAAGAGCAAGTTATTCTTAGAAGAATGACGTCGAGTACATTTCAATATATACTCTTGACATTTATTTACCTTCTAAATTACTCCATGTTTTGTTACTTCATGAAATGTGAAATTTGATAGGAAAACCTGAGTGTAATGCACAGTTAACAGTTTAAATCTTAAATATTTACGAAATTTAAGATTTAAATACTTACAATTGCAACGTGGAATGAGTTTTAGTGTGTTTACAAGTTATTCTAGATTTTGCTTTTACTTTTGTGAAGTTTGGGTCGATTTCAGAAACAAAGAGCGGTCAAACTTTACCTACGTACATCGTCAAGGTTTCACAGTGGGGATCCACATTCTAACCTAACTTAATCTATTTTAATAAATTACCAATAGTTTGGTAATTTATTAGAATAGGTTAGGTTAGAACATGGATCCCTACTGTGAGGCCATGACTCTGCATGTATGTAAAGTTTAACCCAAAGAACTAAGCCACAATTTAGACCTGCCTCTATCATAGTTTAAACTATGATTCTTGACAAGAACAACAATACTTAGCAATGGCTAATTGCTGTCCAAATGAAGGGCCCGCCAGTGGCCAAGCAATTCTGTTCACTGAACACTGGAAGTTCGGTCGTGCGTTGGTGCCTCGTTAGGATGGGCTGGCCACATGGAGATTTCTGGATTTTCTCCACATCTGTGACGCCTGAATAGGGACGAGTTACCCTTAAAAAGACCTCCTGGAAGGCATCCCCCTAGGCAGATTGCCCAAGTGTTGCATTGCTGTAAATACTCTATAACAATGTTAAGAAATTACAGTATGTAATTACATAAAATACCTGTTGCTATATTAAAACAAAACTGTTAGTCATTGAAAATACTGCTTACAAGTCTTTTTAACATTAAATTTTTCTATAAAACATTTCTCTTGTTTAGATTGGCAATTTAGTATATCAATATATTCAGGGCTGGTCAGTGGGTGGTGTGAATGGTGTGACCACACAAGGCCCTGCAATCCTGCATGATCCAGCTCTTGTAAAATTTAAAAATTGATTATTTCAGTATTTGCTAAGTTAACTAAATTTTTGCTAATATATTTAACAGATGGTACGTTTACATTAGAATACTGTATTATTTTAATCACGTACTCTGAACCAATTATAGTGTGTAGATAATAAAAACAAACAAAAACGAATGTTTTTAAACTCCTTCTGAGTTCTTCATTGGGTTTTGCACGGATGCAATGGGCTTTTAATAATTTTTTCGAACTTATATTTGAACTCTTGTTCAAATTTTATTCCAGTAGTGGTTATGAAGAACCATCAGAGAATCATTAAAAAACCTGATGAAGAACTTGGAAAGAGTTTGAAAACATTCATTTTTGTTATCTACACACCGTAATTGGTTCGGAGTATGTGATTAACTATATCCTGGTGTGGTGAGTGGTTGTTTATTATTTTGTTGTTCGAAACTGCTATTTTTTTTTTATTAAAAGGCCAGTATGACAATCTTGCACTGGGCCCCACTATTTCACGGGCTTGGCCCTGAATATAGTAAACAAGAAGCTATTCTAGGTCTTTCAATTTATTACATAATGGATAGTATTATACTGAATTGGGCCTTATTACATTTTGGTGAATTTAATCATGTCCAATTCAGAGAATGTATTACATTCTCTTAGTTTTGTCTTATCATGAAAGACAATTACAATCAGGGATGGACCAAATATAGAGTTTTGGATGAATACTGAATAATTATTTGGAATAAGTAATACTTGAATAATTATAAGTAATACTTGAATAATTATTACTGTTGCACTACCAAAATAACTAATATTTAGCCAAATATCAACTGATTTATTTGGAAGTGCATGAAACAAAAGGCTTAGAGTAATGTAGAGATCAGTACCTTCTATTCATTAATAAAGATTATATAAGTTTTTATTTTAAAAAAATTATTATTAATTATGTGATGAAAAGTAAAAAAATTAAATCTTGCTATTGAAGCCCGTTGGTTTTTAGCAGCTGTACTAAGTAGTGTATTTAGTGAATTGTACATAAATTCTTTCAGTATATACAGCGTAGCTAGAAATGTTTGACAACCAACAAATCACTTCCTATCAATGCAGAAGTATTACTGTTGTTTGTGAAAATTAAAACACTTGAATTATGATTATTATGAAACATATGCCGTTAATCCATCGGGCTAGTTTTAAGGCTAATTACTAAATAAATTACGAAATTAATTTGGCACTAGAGGTAAGCGTTAGGCGCCATCTCTTATTAATATTAATAATTATAAATAAATTAATTAATTTAAATAATTTAGAACCGCTGGGAGAAAAATCGGCCCGGAGCGGGACTCGAACCCCACAACTCCTGCTTACCGTGCAGATGCGTTGCCAGTTACGCTATCCGGACCTCCGATCCGATCTCCTCTTCCAGCGTATAACTATGTAACCATCGACGGTTATTACAATGCCGGCTGGGGACACATTCAGTGCCCACGTCCTACTCCTATAAGGCACTCAACCGGCCATCGCAAGCCCCGGCAAGGCGTAATATATATAATCATCGCTAAACCCGATGTAATATAGCTAATCACCAAACATATGCCGTAAATCCATCGGGCTAGTTTTAAGGCTAATTACTAAATAAATTACGTAATTAATTTGGCACTAGAGGTAAGCGTTAGGCGCCATCTCTTATTAATATTAATAATTATAAATAAATTAATTAATTTAAATAATTTAGAAC